AGTCCCCGGAGATTTCGGTGGACACGGTCATTGAGGCACCTTCTCGGCACCTGACGGCCAGACAGGAGCTCTTCCCGCCGGTCGCGGCCTTGACGACTGTGACAGCCAGACAGGAGACCCAGTCGTTACTTCAGACCCCAGAGAGGGGCAGGCAGACCATGAGGCTGGCCAGTGCCATTCGGGCCTCGGCCTCAAAGGCCCCTCCACCGCCGCCGCTGCAGCTGCAGAGTCGGGATGCCTCTTCATCCCCACCACCCCATCCCATGCCTCCTGATGACGAGGAGGAAGAGGGCGAGCTGCTGGGATCGGTGCATTCGGGATCGGTGCTGTCTCTTGGAATCGAGAAGTCACCCACCCACGATGCCTATGAGGCGGATCCCCCATCCCCGACTGACAACGTCCGAGGCTTTGCGGACCAAATGGCTCGGATGGCTGAGACTCTGGGCCTGGAGGTCAAACAGACTTCCACGGCAGTGACTGATCCCGTGTTTAAGAGGGTACAGAAGGAGTCCCCACCAGCTCCTCTACTACCCTTCCTTCCCTACCTACTTGAGGTTATCCAGGGCTCCTGGAAGACTCCCTCTTCTATCCCACCGACATCAAAGAAAATCGAGTCCTGGTACAGGACTGATGATGAGGGCCTGGAGTGGCTGAAACACCATCCCGACCCTAATTCGGTGGTCGTGAAGGCGGCTCAGGGGTTCGGAAGGCAATCCTCCACGCCGTCAGACCGCGAGGGCAAGAGGTTCGACGCAGTGGGCAGGAAGCTCTACTCCGGTGCCCTTCTGCTGGCCCGTATGGCGAACTATGGAGCTTGCATGGGGGCTTACCAGCAGATCCTGTGGGAGAAGGCGGAACCTTTCTTCCAAAGAATGTCGGCTGAAGACCGGGCTGCCATGACCACCCTGGCTCAAGAGGCCCACTCTCTGGCGCATCACCAGATGCAGATGGCCAAGCACACCGGGGACACGGCCGGCAAGATGATTGCTCACGCAGTGGCAATCAGAAGGCATGCCTGGTTAAGGTCTTCAGGCCTTTCCACATCATCGAGACAGGTGATAGAGGATCTCCCGTTCGATGCCCTAGGACTTTTCAATGCGGGCACGGACGATAAGCTAAAGTCCAACCACGAGTTCAAGACTCTGGCCTCCAAGTGCGGGATCGAGAACCAGGGTCAGGCGCAGCGTACCAGGTGGTACCAATTCAAACGCAGGCATACGGTCCCGTACCGTACCATCCAATACCGGCATCCAACCCGTCCTTCACAGTCTCCTTTGCAGACCCAGCCTCAACAACCACAACAACAGAGGCGTCAGCACCAGCAGCAGCGTTCGCGCTCCCGGCAGGCTTCTGGAGGCAACCAGGCCAGGCGTCGCGTTTGACGCGCTGGCGGACGATACCGTTTGTTTTTCCGTTACAGATGCTGCTCCCATGTCCCTCCCAAATATACCCGCCCTCATCCTTCCATCCGGCTTGACACTCTTCGGAGATCGTCTGACAAACTTTCTCCCTGCATGGGAAAATATCACCTC